TACCGCCGAGCGTCCTCGGTATTCTTGACTCCCGCATACGAGTATATTCGTATACCCGCCAAGCGTACTTGGCTCCTCTAGGCCACCGAACTTCGTATTGCGGGCATTTCCGCGTACCTAGCCAGGTCGCCGTTCTAAATTCCGCCTTCATACGAGCGTCCTCGTACTCCCGCCGAGCGTAATCGGCAGCCTAAGTCCTTATATCGCGTTTATTCACCGGGATTTCAAATCCGTAATCCGTCCGGCAAGCAAAACCGCGTCGACCAATCCGCGCCGCCGAATAGTCCGCATCGATCTACGATCGAACAGACTCGGGATACTCTACGAACGCACTCACCGACGAGCGTTGCGTTGTACCAACCGTTGCGACACGATCGCCCGCGCTTGCACTCTCGCCGACCGCACCAGGACGCCTCGCGTCATATTTTATAGTTCCGCATAAATAATTATTTCACCGTTGATCAAATAATTATTTCGCTATTGTCGATACTTCGCATTTATTTTCACGTTGCTTTCGCATTTATTTTACGCCGCCTTAAATAATTATTTCTCACCGACGCTCCAATAATTATTTCACTATCGACGATACTTCGCATTTATCTCCACGCTGCTTTGTATTTATTTCACGCCGCTTTAAAGAATTATTTCTCTGTCACTTATTAATTATTTCACCGTTAATATACCGATCGCGCCGATATTTTTCTATTTTGTATACTCTTTCAAATTCATTTCGCACACGCTTCGCATGTACACACGAGCATTAAAGCAGATCATTCGAAACAAATCATATCAACATCTTGCTTAATAAACGCTGTTTCATTACTTTATTACAAACGAGCATTTATTTATTTCACTGACATACTCCCAATCGACCGAACCTGGATTCCGGCGAGCTACTCCGCGTCCGCCGAAGCTCACACGGTTTCAAAAGAAAGAATGGTATCTTTTATATCATGATTTTACACAAGTAGAAAAAGAAAATCTTTTAAAATTAAATTTTGATGACATGTGGAAAGAAATTTTACAAAGTCAGAACTCTATTAACATTGCAAAATATCCCAATTTAAAATCTTTTTTGAATGCTGTTAGATCACTTCCAAATTCGAATGCTAATTCAGAAAGAGTGTTTTCTGATTTATCAGATATAAAAACAAAAAAACGCAATAAACTTTCGGTTACCAATGTAAATGCTTTTTGTGTTCTAAAATCGGCTTTAAAGTCTAGAAAAGAAACGGTTCTAAACATGGTAATTGATGAAAACCATTTGTCTCTCATGTCGGCAAAGACATTATATGCTAGTAGCCCCATGAAAAAAAAAGTAATATAACGCTACATGCTGCAGATATTGATGATGTTGCTGGACCGTCAATATTAAAATAACATATAATAATTTTTAAATAAAATAATAAAACATTTTACAAGCATTGCAGGCATAATAAATACAAAATATATTTTGTATTTATTGGAGATTGAAGTCTCGCGCCGTGGCGACTCGGCGCTTTTCGCGGTTACAGCATAACCGAGTTTCTCTCGGGAGAGGGCGCTTGCTCTAGTCTGTCGTCGCGTGTTCCTCGTGCGGACTACCTTCTCATTAGATCGTAGATCTCGTGCAAAAAGGACCAGAGTCTGTCGTGTACCTTTCGCAAATAAACGTGTGTATCTCTGTGAATATCTGATAACCGATTGTCTTATTTCCTTTCCCTGCA